AACAGCCATAATTATATTTGTCATTATACCAGTCTTGTTCAATTCTTTCTGTTTGGGAAAGAATTGATTTTTAAAGATCCATTTATTCCCCCACTTCCTCTTCTCTCCCAATCTTTTCTTTCACTTATTTGCTTTCCCTGGTACACCTCTTCAACCCACATTTCTGCTTTTATAAAATGGCACAAACATCTCACAACCTCCTCAGCCTAGCTGGAAATTGGCTCTGCTAATCCAAGCGAGAGCTGGGTAAAATTATATTTTACCTAGGACTAGACTTTGGTAAAACAACAAAATGGGAACTTTGATTGTTAGACTCCTTTCTCATCCTTTCTTCAGCTTTCCTATTCTTCTGTCCCCAGCTCTCTTGCCAAACTGGTACTCATTGAGGAACAAATGTTATCTTAACACTAAGAGATATTGCATAATGGATCTCTAATCTATTCCAAAGAATATTTGGCTTTTTGTTTTTGTTTTAAAAACATTCTGTTTTTAATTACATAGTTTTTTGTTTGGTTTGGTTTGGGTTTTTTGTTTAATGTTTTTGTTTTTTAATGAGACAGGGTCTCATTCTGTTGCCCAGGCTGAATTACAGTGGCACAGTCATGGCTCACTGCAGCCTCAACCTCCAGGGCTCATATGATCCTCCCACCTCAGCCTCCTGAGTAGCTGCAACTACCAGCATGTGCCACCATGCCCAACTCATTTTTGTCTCTTTTGTGGAGACAGGATTTCGCCATGTTGCCCAGGCTGGTCTTGAACTCCTGGACTTAAGTGTTCCACTTGCCTCAGCCTCTCAAAGTGCTGGGATTATAGGCATGAGCCACCTTCCCTGGCCAATAGTTTTTAACTCTAAAAGAATATATGCCTAAGGAACTGGGAAGGAAGAATTTGGCCATTAAAGGCTCAAGGAAGCGGGGAGACAGTATTATCAATATGCTCACTAAATTTGTCTATAGGCATGGACTTATAAAGACAAGAATTAAATAGAACCCTTGCCATACATATAGGAAATACTCTGTTTCTCAAGCATTCATAGCCACCTTCTTGGAATTGTAAAACTATTGTTTTATAATAATTTGGCATGTAGGCCAGGCGTGGTGGCTCACGCCTGTAATCCCAGCACTTTGGGAGGCCCAAGGCAGGTCGATCACCTGAGGTCAGGAGTTTGATACCATCCTGGCCAAGATAGTGAGACCTCATCTCTACTAAAATTACAAAAGAAAAAAAAAAATAGGCATGATGGTGAGCACCTGTAATCCCAGCTACTTGGAAGGCTGAGGTAAGAGAATTGCTTGAACCCAGGAGGTGGAGGTTGCAGTGAGCTGAAATCATGCCACTGCACTCCAGCCTGAGTAACAGAGTGAGACTCTGTCTCAAAAAAAAAAAAAAAAAAAAAAAAAAAAAAAAAAAAAAAAAAAAAAAAAAAAAAAAAAAAAAAAAAAAAAAAAAAAAAAAAAAAAAAAAAAAAAAAATTAAAAAATAATAATTTGGCAGGTAAACTATGTATTTGGTATAGAAATCAAATAAGAATAATGTAATTTGTATACCTCTTTGTTTCTAAACCTATGTGCTGTCAATGTGGTCACATTTTTAAAAAGATAACTAACTTTCATGCTGCTAATGTATTTGTAAGATAAAAGCCTAGAAATTGAATCACTGAGGTTTTTTTTCTCCTTACAGATAACAATATATACATATTATGCACTTTGTTTCTCCTCCCCTATCCCATTACCATAATATAACTTGAAGAGCTTTTAAAGTCAACTCATGTAGAAGTGCTTCTTATATGGTCATGCTGAACTTTATTGAAACAGTCTTCTATTGATTAGCACTGAGATTGTTTTCAACCTTGTACTATTAGAAACAATGTTGTAGTGATTATCCTTTTACACATGGCATTTCACAAATGTGAACACATTATGGGTTAACACTTAAGATGGAATTGTTGATTCAAAGGCTATGGGACTTTTTCATTTTGGTCACTATTGCAAATTGCCCTTTCTAGAGGTTGTAGCAATATATACTCTTTATACCCTTCTTTTTTCTCATACTTCAAAACACTCTCATCAGCAATATATAAGCAATTAATGACTGTTTCTCTACCCTCTCTCCAATACAGCCTGTTATCAAACTTTTTGATCTTAAGCAGTCTTTTTGGAGGAAAACGATATCTCAGCGTAGTTAACTTGCAGTTGCTTTATTGTGAGTGTCGAGCATTTCTTCAGTCATTTGTATTTTCTTTTCCTTGAACTGTCCATGTTGTTTGCTTATTTATAAAATAAGATTGTTGGGGATTTTCTTACTGATTTATAGTAGTCTTTCTTTAAAAGTTAGCCCTTTGTTATTTGAGCAGCAAATATAATTCCTAGCTTTTTGTTTACTTTTGACTTGTATGTATTTATTTTTCCCATGTGAACATCTTCATGTCAGTAAACTTATCAATCTTATGGTTTTGTCCAATATGTTTTGTTTAAAATGCATGTAACTCGATCAGAAATTCAGCAGTTAGAAAAGCTAAGAGTCATCACTTTATATAAATGGCTGTATTGGTGCCAAAATTATATATTGAATAACAGAGATGGGTTTTCCTCTGGCATTCATTACAGGATGTTAAAATTGAGACACATACATGGCCAGACCAGTGAATTAAGTGTGTCCTCTAATGAAGGGTATAATGTTAAAACATTAGTATCTTCATTGTAAGGATGGAATAACCAGGGAGAAATCACCAACCTCCAGTATAAGATTATTTTCTTTATATATTATTTTATTAATTCTGTTGGCAAATAATAGACTACTTTGAATCTTGATTTCTCCTAATAAAGATTATCTTGACTTTTGTCCTTCCTGCTTAGTCTTTAAAAATCTGTTCTACTTTGAAGATTTTCATTTGCTGGGACCAGATTTCTTGAATTGCTGCCACATGTCTTTCTCTCTGTGTACCCCCTCCACCCCACCCTCACTTTTTATCTTTAAAAGGAAAACATCTGGTTTATATCATGAAGAACTTTTAAAAGCAGTGAGTAGAATTATATAAGATTAATTATATCTATAATAGATATATGAATGAAGGAGTTAATCTTTAATTGTATAAATTCTAAACAAAAATTTATAATGACACTAGATAGGACATAGGCCTCAAAACAACAACAAAAATGTTGAAATATATTATTTTGATTTTATTTCTGTAAGCACAGAGTATGGGAGGGTGAGGGAGGGAAAGGAAACCCTAACAGATTTTCAGTTTTTGTCAACTATACTACACAATCACATAAGGCACAGGATTCTAAACTCACTGTGTCAAATGTCAGAAAACCATTTGTTTCTCAATTAATTGTTTGAGCTTCTCTAAAATATAATGTGGGCAAGGTTGATGACATCCCCTTCCTATAAATAAAAACAATTTAAGGCAAGCTTACAAACAAAATGAGATTCTCTAAAATTGTTTTATTTAACCACAGAGAAAACATACCCTGTAGTGCTCTCTTGTGAATTTAGTTTTTATTTTTCATAAATTTATATTCTGTGAGGTGTTGTTTTAGATATAATAATTACACTTCTTCCAGTTTAAGACACCTAGGTTGGAGGTGTACTGCTTTTTCATTTTTTGACAAGACGCACAGGGATTGATATTTGGGTTGGTTGGGTTTTAGATGTACAAACACACTGGTCTTATTTTATATCACTGGTGATCCACAGGGTTGGCTGCTGTGCTGAACTTTTTGTTCTAGACTTTCTGCCAAGTACTTTATGCAAAACTCTGGTTTTAGTGAAACAGGTTTTATTGTTTTTAGTCAGAGTTGTATTATAAGCTGTTGTTAGCTATGCAGTGCTAACAGAAGAGATGGTGTGTGTGTGTGTGTGTGTGTGTGT